GATTTTGGGTTTTTATGAGGGGGCGGGGCCAAGAGCGGGGGGAGGGGACCCAAAATTGGGATTTGGGGAATTCCAAAAAAAAGGAAAAACCGAGGCGGAGGCTCTGCAGATCCGTCACCACTTTATTGCCCAAAATCCCGGAAAAAAAACCCCAAAACCCCCAAAATTCCAGAAAAAAAACAAAAGTCCCCCCTAAAAACCAAAAAAACCCAAAATTCCAGAAAAAAACCCCAAAATCCCAGAAAAAATCCTCAAAATTTTGGGATTTCTGGGATTTTTGGGGTCTTTTTAAGTTCTGGGAGATCCTAAAATTTCAGGGATTTCGGGGATTTTCGGGACCCCCCAAAATTTCAGGATTTCTGGGTTTTTTCAGGCTCCCAGAAAATTCAGATTTTCCGGGATTTTTGGGGTCTCTCGTCGTCCCAGAACCCCCCAAAATTTCGGGATTTCTGGGATTTTCAGGATTTCTGGGATTTTTGGGGTCTCTGGACATCCCAGAACCCCCAAAACTTTTGGGGTTTTCAGGATTTTCAGGATTTGTGGGATTTTTGGAATTTCTGGTATTTTTGGGGTCTCTCGTCGCTCCAGAACCCCCCGAAATCTCAGGATTTTCAGGATTTTCGGGTTTTCTGGGATTTCTGGGATTTCGAGGATTTTTGGGGTCTCTCGTCGCTCCGGAACCCCCCAAAATTTCGGGATTTTCGGGATTTCTGGGATTTTTTGGATTTCTGGTATTTTTGGGGTCTCTTGACATTCCAGGACCTCTCAAAATTTCGGGATTTTTGGGATTTCCAGGATTTCTGGGATTTCGAGGATTTTCGGGGTCTCTTATTGCTCCAGAACCCCCCAAAATTTCGGGATTTTTGGGTTTTTCAGGATTTCCGGGATTTCCAGGATTTTCAGGATCTCCGGGATTTTCGGGATTTCCAGGATTTCCGGGATTTTTAGGATTTAGAGGATTTTTGGGGTCTTTTAACATCCCAGAACCCCCCAAAATTTCGGAATTTTCAGGATTTTCAGGATTTCTGGTATTTCCGGGTTCTCTCGTCGCTCTGGGACCCCCCAAAATTTCGTGATTTCCCGGATTTTCGTGATTTCCCGGATTTTCCTCACTTTCCGGCCTCCCGAAATACTCGGGGTCCCTCGGCGCCCCCCAAATCTCGTCATTTCCCCCCGAATTTCCGGGGTTTTCCCCAATTTCGGGATTTTCGAGGTTTTCGGGGTTTTTGGGGTTTTCGGGGTTTTCGGGGTCCCCCTGGAGCTCCTCCCGCGCCTCCTCCGCGGGGTCCGGGGGGGTCTCGGCGAAAAACGCGTCCCGGGCGACCCCCGAAATCCAGCGCTGCCGGGGGGGCGTGGCCGAGAATTTGGGGGGGTCCCCCCGGGCGCAGCCCCCGGGCCCGGCCACGCCCAGCAGGAACCACAAACCGCGCTCGAGACACATCAGGGGCGATCCCAGGAGGGGCTGGGGACACAAAAATACAGAAATTAAACCCAAAATTAGAACCGGGATCACAGGAAACCTAAAATAAACGAAAACAGTAAAAATCGGCACCAAAATATCCCAAAATGACCCAAAATGACCCAAAATAACCCCAAAATAACCCAGGAACCACAGCCCGCGCTCGAGGCACATCAGGGGGGATCCCAGGAGGGGCTGGAACACAAAAAACACAAAAATTAAACCCAAAAATGGATTCGGGATCATAAAAAACATAAATAACACAAAAAATACCCAAATAATCTAAAATAACCCCAAAATCTGCACTGAAATAACCCCAAAATAACCCAAAATGACCCAGGAACCCCAGCCCGCGCTCGAGGCACATCAGGGGCGATCCCAGGAGGGGCTGGAATGAAAAAAACACAAAAATTTACCCCAAATTTGATCTGGAATCCTAAAAAACTGAAATATCCCAAAATAACTACAAAAAACCCCAAAATCTGCACCAAAATCGGCCCCAAAATAACCCCAGAACCACAGCCCGCGCTCGAGGCACATCAGGGGCGATCCCAGGAGGGGCTGGAACACAAAAAACACAAAAATTTACCCTAAAAATGGATTCGGGATCATAAAAAACATAAATAAACCAAAACAGCAAAAATCTGCATAAAAATATCCCAAAATGACCCAAAATGACCCCAAAATGACCCAAAATAAACCCAAAATAACCCCGGAACCACAGCCCGCGCTCGAGGCACATCAGGGGCGATCCCAGGAGGGGCTGGAACACAAAAAACACAAAAAATTACCCCAAAAATGGATTCGGGATCATAAAAAACATAAATAAACCAAAACCAGAAAAAATCTGCATCGAAATATCCCAAAATGACCCAAAATGACCCAAAATAAACCCAAAATAACCCAAAATAACCCCAGAACCACAGCCCGCGCTCGAGGCACATCAGGGGCGATCCCAGGAGGGGCTGGAAATGAAAAAAACACAAAAATTTACCCCAAAAATGGATTCGGGATCACAGAAAACCTAAAATAAACGAAAACAGCAAAAATCGGCACCAAAATAACCCAAAATAACCCCAATTGACCCAAAATAAACCCAAAATAACCCCAGAGACACATCAGGGGCGATCCCAGGAGGGGCTGGAACCAAAAAATACAGAAATTAAACCCAAAATCAAAACCAGGATCATAAAAAACATAAATAACACAAAAAAACCCCAAAAGAACCTAAAATAACCCCAAAATCGGCACCGAAATGACCCCAAAATGACTCAAAATGACCCCAAATGACACAAAATGACCCCAAAATGACCCAAAATGACCCGAAATAATCCCAAAATGACCCCAAAATGACCCAAAATGACCCAAAATGACCCAAAATGACCCGAAATAATCCCAAAATAACCCCAAAATGACCCAAAATGACCCAAAATGACCCCGAGTCAGCTCCACGCAGCTCAGGGGCGACCCTGGAACCAAAAACCACAAAAATTCACCCCAAAAACGGATTTGGGACATGAAAAAAACCCCCAAAGTTTGAGAAATCCCAAAATGACCCCAAAATGACCCAAAATCCCAAAATGACCCCAAAATGACCCAAAATGACCCGAAATGACCCCGAGTCAGCTCGAGGCAGCTCAGGGGTGACCTTGGAACCAAAACCACAAAAATTAACCCCAAAAACGGATTTGGGACATGAAAAAAACCCCAAAAACTGAGAAATCCCAAAATGACCCCAAAATGACCCAAAATGACCAAAAAATGACCCCAAAATGGCCCCTCCCCCACCTGGCAGTGGTCACCCTCGGGGACGGAGATGCAGAAACTCTCGGGGTCACTCGAGGGGTCACTTGAGTGGTCACTCGAGGGGTCATTGTGGTCATTGTGGTCACTCCGGTGGTCACTCCGGCGGTCATTGTTGTGGTCAGTTCTGTGGTCACTCTCATGGTCATTTTGGTCACTCCTGAGGTCACTCCAGTGGTCACTCCGATGGTCACTGTGGCCACTCGAGGGGTCACTCCCGTGGTCACTCCTGTGGTCACTGTGGTCACTCCGGTGGTCACTCTCATGGTCAGTCCTGTGGTCATTGTGGTCATTGTGGTCACTCCGATGGCCACTCGAGCGGTCAGTTCTGTGGTCACTCAGGTGGTCACTCTGGTGGTCACTCCGATGGTCATTGTGGTCACTGCCATGGTCACTCCCATGGTCATTGTGGTCACTCCGATGGTCACTCCGGTGGTCAGTTCTGTGGTCACTCCTGTGGTCACTGTGCTCACTCCGGTGGTCACTGTGGTAATTCCTGTGGTCACTCCGGTGGTCATTGTGGTCAGTTCTGTGGTCACTCCTGTGGTGGTCACTCCGGTGATCATTGTGGTCATTGTGGTCACTCCGGTGGTCTCTCCTGTGGTCACTGCGGTCATTTTCGTGGTCACTCCTGTGGTCACTCCTGCGGTCACTCCCATGGTCATTGTGGTCACTGTGGTCATTGTGGTCATTGTTGTGGTCACTCCGGTGGTCACTCCTGTGGTCATTGTTGTGGTCACTCCGGTGGTCACTCCTGTGGTCACTCCGGTGGTCATTGCGGCCACTCCCATGGTCACTCGAGGGGTCATTGTGGTCACTCCCATGGTCACTCGAGGGGTCATTGTGGTCACTCCCATGGTCACTGTGGTAATTCCTGTGGTCACTCCGGTGGTCACTGGAGCGGTCAGTTCTGTGGTCACTCCGGTGGTCATTGCGGCCACTCTGGTGGTCATTGTTGTGGTCATTGTGGTGACTCCTGTGGTCACTCCGGTGGCCATTGTGGTCACTCCTGTGGTCACTCCTGTGGTCACTCCTGTGGTCACTCCTGTGGTCACTCCTGTGGTCACTCCGGTGGTCACTCCGATGGTCACTCCGGTAGTCATTCCCATGGTCATTGTGGTCACTCTCGTGGTCACTCCTGTGGTCACTCTCATGGTCAGTTCTGGGGTCACTCCGGTGGTCACTCCGGTGGTCATTGTGGTCATTGTGGTCACTCCTGTGGTCACTCCTGTGGTCACTCCCGTGGTCACTCGAGCGGTCAGTTCTGTGGTCATTGTGGTCACTTGAGCGGTCACTCCAGTGGTCACTCCTGTGGTCACTCAGGTGGTCACTGTGGTCACTCTCGTGGTCATTGTGGTCATTGTGGTCACTTCGGTGGTCACTGTGGTAATTCCTGTGGTCACTCCTGTGGTCACTCCTGTGGTCACTCCTGTGGTCACTCCGGTGGTCACTCCGGTGGTCACTCTCGTGGTCACTCCTGTGGTCATTGTGGTCAGTTCTGTGGTCATTGTGGTCACTGTGGTCACTCCTGTGGTCACTCCCATAGTCACTGTGGCCATTGTGGTCACTTGAGCGGTCACTCCGGTGGTCATTGTTGTGGTCATTGCGGTCACTCCAATGGTCACTCCGGTGGTCACTCCGGTGGTCACTCGAGCGGTCAGTTCTGTGGTCACTCCGGTGGTCACTCTCGTGGTCACTCCCACAGGGTCTCGCGGTCACCTCGACCGAGCGGAGCTGAGCCGGGT